GAGTGGATATATTTACATACAAACACACCTAAATGAGTAGTTTCTGCAATTGCATGGCCCAAATTATTTTAGGCCAGAAACAAAATCAACAAGACCGAGAGAGAGAGAGAGAGAGAGAGAGAAAAAAAAGGGCAGGATATCTAAAGCAACGTCATTTGAAAAGCACATTAACAAAGCTTGGGGTATTTATTTATTGAGGTAGTCTTTATCGACTTAAGGTAGGTGGTCTCGATCAGATTCGGATGAGTCGCATGCTGGAACACATCGAATGAGGTGGTTCATTATTAGGTGGACCATACTTAGGTGGCTTTTTTTTGGTTCATTCGATGCTACCCATACGGGTAATGCCTGCTTGGTGTGGATGTAGTATTTTTTATATGCCATGTTATGTAACAACTACTTGTTTTTGTAGATCTCTTAATCTTTTTAATTGTTTTTCACATATCGTTATCATGTCATAATAAAATTCTTCACTTGTAATGTCATGTAAATAAGCATATCTTATTATATCTGTTTTAATATTTGGAATTTCCCATTCTATATCTAGATATATTTTTATTGTACTAATTTTTATTTGTATTTTAAATTGTTGTCTTGCTCTGATACCACGTTTTATTCACCATTTTTGGTTCTTTTCTGTTTCATTTTGTTGTAATTATATATTTATTTTAAATTTGCTTTTTAATTTATATTATCGTTTTAGGTGGTCCTATTTTATGTATTTTCTTAAATTTTTGATTATATCTTTGTATATCATAATCTAGTTTTTTTAATTTTTGTTCATCTTTTTCTATGTATTTATATTGTATTGATTTTTCTGTTAAATAATCTACTTCTTTGATTTCCCTTCTATTTAGTTCTACTAATTCAAGATTTATATCTTTCCTATCCATTATTACAAATTCTATATTTTATTATTTAAATTTATTACTAATGAGTTTAACTCATTTACCTGTTTATGTAGTTTTTTTATTGCTATATCCTCTTTATATAAACTTTTACTACTATGGGGTTCTTCAATTTCTTGAGTTTTTAATAAATTATTTTCAGTTAGTTTTCCTAAATTTGTAGGATTACTAAATGATCGTCTACTATGTTCTCTTAAGAGTTCCTTTTGAATTCTATCATTTTTAATAATAGTACTGGTTTCATTGAATATTTTTTCTATATATATTCTTTCTTGATTTTGATAATTCATACTTAAACTACTATTACTTAATGCATAAGATATTCTATAACAAACAACCATAGGTATATCTCCTGATTCCATTAATGTTTTTTCTTGAAAATTACATGTTATTCCTATGCAGTTATTAATTTTCTTAGTTGATAATGGTATAGGAAATTGTAATGATATATTAAATTTAATTACTCTGTACCCTAAATCTCCTTCTATTTCTCCTACTTTTCTTAATTCTTTATGCATGATTCGATTATCTTCAACTTTTATATTTACGGGTGTCTTTATTCCTTCTCTAAATGTTGATCGTAATACTATTTGTACTGTGTTTATATGTATATAACTTATCTTTTTTATATCTTCTTCTTTTATTTTTTCTAATCACTTTTCTATTTGGTTTATTTCAACTAAGGGTGCTTGAAAATTATAATTTGTTTGTTCTATTCTAATCGGTTGTTCTCCATTCATTATTCCGTAATGTATAATATTTTTTCTATTTAGTTTTTCTAATATACCATTATTTATTCCTTCTTCTTTTTTCTAAATTTAAAATTTTTTTATTTTTTACTTTTGTTACTACCTTCTTATCTAATAATATATCTGATAAATAAATTCCTCGATCTTCTATATTTTCTATAACATGATATTCGTTGTCCATTATTTATCTTTTATTATCTTATATTTAGAATTCTTAATCTTATTTGAACACTTAGACTAGATGCTTGCTATTCAGCTTTCTTTATTAACTCTTTAATCCTGGTAATTGAAAAAGTAATATCATCGCATATTCGGAAATGAACTTCATCTTCTACTGAATTTTCTTTAGGTGCATAAATTTTTACTAGGTTGAATAACATTTGTTCATTTTCTTTTAACATTTTTGTTAATGAAACAATTTGTTCTATTAATGATTTGAGACGATTTATATCCTTATATATTTCTCTATATGGCATATACCAAAAACTATTAATTTCCATGCGAAATCAATAACAATTTTTCCTTTCTTTTCGTAGTATTTTATTTTCATTTTTCTATATTAGCTTCCATTAATGCTTCAATCACTTGTGAGGATATATAATAATTCATTTTCTAAAAAACTCTCTTTGTTTTAATTGTAAGCATGAGTAATTATAGAATGATAAGAATATACCTCTGATTTTCTCCTTGTTTCCAACACAACTAGGGTTTGATCTTTCTGGCATTCACCACCTTCGATCTCCAGCTCTTCAGTGCTCCAGGAAACTCTTTGAGAAAATGTTTAGTATATTTCTTCACTCTTCTATTTAACTCACGCTTGCTAATTATTTAGCTGCTCATTCTTTTTGAAACACACATATTTTATTTCAAAAAATATTTTACAGACTCGAACTTCATACAAACTTGAATTGAGCACACCCTATGAATGGCGTACTCGACTCCTTATATAGACGGAGTTACTAAGATTAACCGACAAGATCAATTGTCTAAAACCATACCGTGTAAGGTGATAAGGTTAGGCCATTGTTTTTGTCAAAAAGTGGTGGTCATCACACAAGATGTCATTCTCCACTATAAAAGCCAAAAGTGGTGGTCATCGTGCAAGATGCCATTCTCCACTTCTAAAAAAAAAATGGACCACAAAAAGACGCGTCCATTATTAATCATGGGACCTAATACAGACTTATTACATTCTGTTTATATGACGTATGCGCTTACATCTTCATTCTTCAATTATTGTATCTTCTTCTTCTTCTTCTTCTTCTTCTTCTGGCAGCATTTCTTCAATTGCTTGTATGTTGCATTCTCTACAAATATGATCTTCTGTAAATTCTTTCTGTAGTCGAATGCAAATATTCTTCTTTAGCTGTGTAGGGAATTCATACTGAATTTGCATAAGATCATCTAAATATTTGTTTAATGTCTGTCTGTCTTTTTCTGATGGATCTCTTGACTGCATACTCCAGATGACTACTGATTTGGCCGCATAATTAATTCGCCCTTTGAGCCAGATACCTT